GTCCGAAAACGGGAACTTATGTTTTGCCCTGTGTGCGTGCGTGCGTGCGTCCGTGATCACTTGTATTTCGAACATGCATGGACCAATTAAGTTCAAACTTCACTCATACATCACACATTATATGGGACATATGCACAAGTATTGTTTTCATGATCCGATTAACGATAGCCGAATAGCGGCCATTTTAAGGCCGAAAATGCATCAAAATCGCACATTTTCACCATTTCGGACTCGGATCTCAGTTATGCATGGACGGATTTTGTTCAAATTTGGTATATACATTAAACATAATAGGACCTTGATGCACGTAATCACTTGTATCTCGAACATGCATGGACCGATTAAGTTCAAACTTCACTCATACATCACACATTATATGGGACATATGCACATGTATTGTTTTCATGATCCGATTAACGATAGCCGAATAGCGGCCATTTTAAGGCCGAAAATGCATCAAAATCGCACATTTTCACCATTCCGGACCCGGATCTCAGTTATGCATGGACGGATTTTGTTCAAATTTGGTACATACATTAAACATAATAGGACCTTGATGCACGTAATTTTTTTTTGGGGATCGGGTTTGAAATGGCCGACTGGCAGCCATTTTGTTTTAAAAAATTTAGTTCTGGATCCGTATCTGAGACATGCTTGGATTGATCGAGTTCAAACTTCACACACACAAGGTACATCATGTCACAAATATGTATGTGCATTTGTTTCATGATCTCATTAACGATAGCCAAATGGCGGCCGCTTTAAGGCCGAAAATGAATTGAAATCGCACATTTTCACCATTCCGGACCCAGATCTCAGTTATGCATGGACGGATTTTGTTCAAATTTGGTACATACATTAAACATAATAGGACCTTGATGCATGTCATTTTTTTTTCCGGATCAAGTTCGAAATGGCCGACTGCCGGCCATTTTGTTAAAGAATTCAGTTCTGGATCCATATCCAAGACATGTCTGGATTGATCAAGTTCAAACTTCACACACACATGGTACATCATGTCACAAATAGATATGTGCATTTGTTTCATGATCCGCGTAACAATAGCTGAATGATGGCTATTTTAAGGCCGAAAATGCATCAAAATCACGTATTTTCACAATTTCGGAACCAGATCTCAGTCATGCATGGATGGATTTTGTTCAGATTTAGTACAATGTGTTGTACATATGCAGGTGCATTTCGGTCATGATCTGCTTTGAATGTATATGTCACTCAAATATGAACGGAACGGGGACGTGTCATTGACAATGACTTGTAATTGTTACCTTTTCAGGTTACAGACATAGCTGATGCAATGATTTTAAAGAGATTATTTACAGAACTTTTCAACCAGGGTGTAGTTGTTGTAGCTACCTCAAATAGGCATCCTGATGACCTTTATAAAAATGGACTCCAGAGAAGTAATTTTATTCCATTTATTCAAGTACTAAAGGTAATTGCTATTATTGAATTAACTAATCTGTCAAGTTGTACACTTAAATAGTATGAACAAATTCTATTATAATAAATCAGCCATGCATGCATTTTTATTGCCAACAACTTGTCTGTCTGTATAATCTGATGTCACATTAGAAATTTCAAAATCACTGATATCAAGATGGGGTTTTCACAATCATTGGATGTCAATATAGGGAGTTTCAGACACTTGGGATTTTAGAATTGTTTAATTGATATCAAGTTAGGGGATTCAGAATCATTGGATGTCAAGTTAGGGTTTCAGAATCATTTAATATCAAGTTAGGGTTTCAGAATTATTGAATGTCAAGTTAGGGGTTTCAGAATTATTGAATGTCAAGTTAGGGGTTTCAGAATCATTTAATGTCAAGTTAGGGTTTCAGAATTATTGAATGTCAAGTTAGGGGTTTCAGAATCTTTTGATATCAAGTTAGAAGTTTTAGAATCTTTGGATGTCAATATAGGGGTTTCAGAAACTTTGAATATCAAATTAAGGATTTCAGAATCATTGGAAATCATGTTAAATTATGGGTTTGAATTTTTAAGAACAAACAACTTGAAAATTGGTCATAAAAAAAGATGTTTTATTTTAGTCCTGCTATCTTGACCTTTAATCTAGTGTCACGTTTGTTTTCTCATAGGATCACTGTGAAATAAGAGCAATAGACCATGGCCATGATTACAGACAAACAGGTACATACACACCAGAGGTGGATTGATGCAATGAGAGGTAGAATTAAGCAATGAGAGGTGGATTGATGCAATGAGAGGTGGATTGATGCAATGAAAGGTAGAATTAAGCAATGAGTGGTGGATTGATGCAATGAGAGGTGGATTGATGCAATGAAAGGTAGAATTAAGCAGTGAGAGGTGGATTGATGCAATGAAAGGTAGAATTAAGCAATGAGAGGTTGATTGATGCAATGAGGTAGAATTAAAGCAGTGAGAGGTGGATTGATGCAATGAAAGGTAGAATTAAGCAGTGAGAGGTGGGTTGATGCAATGAGGTAGAATTAAGCAATGAGAGGTTGATTGATGCAATGAAAGGTGGATTGACACAATGAAAGGTAGAATTAAGCAATGAGAGGTTGATTGATGCAATGAGAGATTGATTGATGCAATGAGTGGTTGATTGATGCAATGAGAGGCGGATTGATGCAATGAGGTAGAATTAAGCAATGAGAGGTGGATTAATGCAATGA